ACTCTTTGTAACTTAAAGGGCAAAATATTATTTTTAGCCTTAAACATAATTAATAGTGTCCGTAATTTCACTAAATCTAATTTTAATAATTTCGATTTTATAAATAATTTATTTGTATGTTCTCTATATTTAACGTTATGAATCATTCGTGTCACATGCATGCTCCACTGTGTTCACTGTTTGTCCTCCATCAAAGCTCTTTCCTCGAGCGGTTGTATGAATGCAAACAAATCCATTTCTGGCCTTCAGTGTTTGATCTCCCTCTGAAGAGAAAACGTGCAACGCCGACTTTGCTCTGAAGCAAAAATTCAACCATTTGTGTCAAATAAGCAGCGTAATTATTTACTTATTTATTTTATTTTCCCCGCCTGCACGGCCGTGTCAGCACCCAAAGCGAAGCAATCGAGTGCGGGTTTATATTGGTGTCAAAATGGCAGCGAGATAAGGCGCAGCTTTTCATTTTCACTCATGCAAAATTCCTCGTGCGTGCATTCAGACCCGCTATGATTCAGCATCCAAACGCACAAAGAAGCCCTCACACACACGACGCCAGGCGCTGCGACACATTCCCGCTCTCGCAGGCCGCTCTGCTCGCTCACCTCAGTCTGACTTTTGGCAGTTTGGTGGGCGGAGCCCCACAACTTTGATTGACAGGTTCAGTTTTACACTCGTATTAAACTCAGCTTCACGGCACAGCCGCTGTTTTAGATCGTACGTGTTTACAGTTCTGAAAATGAAGTTTGCAGAATGAAGCATCGGCAGGTTTTTGCAGGTAGCAGCAAACAACCATCACGAGATTACTTCTGTTCTTAGAAGAGTAGAAAAAAAGACACTTTCTGGCCTCAAAGTTCAAACAGTTTTATGGATTTTAGCCTCCACGAGCGTTTAATTGTGTTCGACTCTGGTATTTTAACGATTTCCCACAATCCAAGACGAGCTGCAGAGACTCCCGCTGTGCTTTAAAGCCCGTGAATCACAGGGTGGCCCTGACTAATGCTCTCATTTTACACCTCCAAACTCTCCACACTTAATTAGACAAGCAGAGAACAGGCGTTTGAAAAGATTCAAAGAAAGGTGTAAAGCTGGGGTGATCTTTCGCTATGGGTGTAATACAGGATTATGGTGAAAAGCCACACATGCTCAGCACCAACATGACTGATTTATTAGTGATTAGTTGCAGTGAGTCATCAGCAGCTTTTTATGTGCCAGGTAAAATAAAATAAAAATCCCGCTGAGTCCCATCAGCTGATCATAATTAGCTTTTATTGATCCTCACCGACGTCGTGATCCAGCCGTGCTTTGAACTACCTGCGAGTTCTCAGTGCGTCTCTGTTCAGTCATGTGTTTATTATTTATGCCCCTGTGTGAGTTTGGCTGCTTGCAGACACGTGTTAGCTGTTTGTGGTGCAGCGGTTACCAGGCCAGTAGGTGTGTCTCTCTGTTTGTCTCTGTCACAGACACCTGGCAGCTGATTGGCTGTTGTTCATACCTGATGTGGATTTCATAGATTTTATTTCTTTCTCTCCTTCTCTGCAGTTTCAGCTCCAGAACTTTGATATCGTCTGCAGCACCTCGTGGGCCAACAGAGACAAGTGCTGTGAACTCCCCAGTCTGGTGAGGTCAAAGTCTGAAGCAGTCTCGATGTTTGCTTGTTTAAAGCAGGAGGAGATGACCTGGAAGCTCTTAAGTGCTCATTTACACACAGTTTATCAACACTGCATGCATGACGGTGACAGTTTCGGGGTTTTCGGGGTTAGAATGAGTCAAGTTTTCTTCCATTTTTCACTGTAAAACCATTGAAAGCAGTTGTTTAAATTTAAACTGCCTCCCTGGTTTTATTTGGATCTTTTCATGACACAAAACCAACATCAGAGTGTGTCGGGAAGCAGGCGCTCTCAGGCGTCTGTGGCTAACGTGTTCTGGACAGTCGTACAGGCTGAGATCTTTACTGCTGGGGCCGAAGGTTTCCAAGCAGAGCGTAGTGAAGTAGCAGCATGAATGAACCTGACAGTCTCTGTGTGCTACAGTGACTGTAACCTGAAAATATCTGACATTCACACCTGAGATGGAGAGCTTTGTCATATTTCCACCTTGTTTGGTTTGTTTTTTAATCACGATTCATGCCATTTCATTTTTATTTGTTTTCTATTCTGTTATTATATTTATTTATTGGCTTTTGTTTTTTCTTTGTGTCATCCTCATCATGCTGTGGTCATCCAGAGGAAGGAGGTAGACTGCCCGGCCTTGCCTAAAGCCTGCACCTGCACCCAGGACAGCAAAGGCCCCGCAGGCCCTGCTGGACCACCAGTGAGACACACACACACACACACACACACACTTTGGTTACTGGGCAAGTCTCACCTCTGCTGCATTGCATTTCATCGTCTGCTTGCTTGAATGAAACTTGGACAAAGACCAAACGTGATCGCACATCTGCATCACAACAATCAGTGACACAAACATCGTTTTTCCTGCACCTCACTTTTTACTCACATTATTTTTTACATGTTTCTTTGATATAGTGAAGAACAATCACCAAACGAGTTTTATACCACTGCCAAGAGCACCATGACTCTAATATACCAGCTGGTATTTAAAGAGTATGCAATTTCATTTCTCACCAGCAGAGAGCGACAGTGAGACTTTTTTGCTGACCTGTCATTATCCATATACTAAACACACACAAAATATGGAGGGCCAGGAGTGACAAAATGAATGAATTAAATATGCCATTAAACAATGAAATACATATATCAATAATTAAATAAAAATTTAAATAAATAAATGATGTATTACATGTTTTAAATTAAATGACTGGACATTTAATTAATTATTGAAATATTTATTTAATAAATGAATTCCAATTTTAATTTTTTAATGAAACATTTAATTCATTTAGTTCGCCACTCCTGGCCCTCCATAGGGCCTGTGCTGCACATTCGTTCATGCAGTCACAAAAGTCCAATAACAGGACAAAACACCAACATCCTGTTTTATGTTCCGTTTACATTTCTTTAGTGGAATTCCTTTTTTTTTTTACTTTCACTTCCTGGCAGATTAAACCTTTTTTTTCTTGCACCATGACTCATCTGTCAGCTTTGTGGGTTGTAAAGTCATCTGTCATCACCTTCAAACCCCAGCAGCAAACCTGGTAATCGTGTGTTTCTAAGCACCTCCTGCTGTTTGTGTATCTAACAGGGAGGCCCAGGAATCAGAGGAGCCAGAGGAGAACGTGGAGAGCCAGGCCCTGTGGTGAGTTGTTGGTTTAGCCTATCAGAAACCACGGCTGTGTCCGATGGGCCCGCCTTCAGCACGTCGCTGAATAATATCAACAGGTTATCAAGAAATCGCATTTGTTTTTATTCAGTTTCTCAGAGTAAAAACATCCATCATGCTCGTGTTCATCCTCGTCTTAAAGAGACAGAGCCGATATAACTCTGCCTGTCTGCAGCTGTGAGCAGCCACATCCCAACTGTTTACACTCAGACACACGCAGAATCATTTCAGATCAGTTTAATAACTTCAGCAATAGTTTATAGATTGAAAAGAATTAGGATGCAGAAAGCTGGATACATACATTTACAAAAACACTTTTATAGATATTTTTTCAAAAGTTATTATTATTAAGTCCCTAATTTAAACAGAGTTCAATCAAATCATTTTTTCCAGAAAGAAGGGTTAATACAATAAATACAGTAGTAATGATAATAATAATAATAATAATAATGATAATAATAATAATGATAATAATAATAATAATAATGATAATAATAATAATGATAATAATAATAATAATAATGATAATAATAATGATAATAATATGAAACAAAACAAAAGCACAGATAAATAAACATCATGGAGATCAATCAGTCAATTAAATTGAAAATAAAAATAGCTTCTTTCCATATTTGCAGTAATTGTCGGGTTTACACACACACAAGTTCTTGATGTGACCGCTTTCATGAGCTCCTCCCATCACGGCGGAGGCCTCGCTGAGCCACACTTCAGGACATCTTTAGGCGTTTGGCCCTTCAGTATTCTCTATATGTAGAAAATATGAAAGCTTCTAAGTGTCGACTCAGGTTTTATGCAGTTAAGACAACAAATGTATTAGTGAGTTAGTTTCAGAGCATAATTAATATATTCATGTGACTCCTCCCTCTGCGCTCTGCTGCACAGCCTACATGTTAAAGGTCATTTCCTGGTTGGTCTTTGCAGCACATGAAGCTGTTTTGAGCCACGCTTGATGGCGTGCTCACTGTTGCTGCGCCTGATTGTGGTTTAGATACGACAATTCAGTTTCCTGAACAGTCTCAGAGCTCCGGGCGCGCCCACCTCTGCACAGTTAGTTCGAGTGTTTCATGCCATGTGTTCCACTATCACAGCGCTGCTTCGTCACAGTGACGTGCTCTAATTTGATGCTTGCAGTAATGTCTTGCAGACTTTTAGCTTTTCTTTCAAAAGCAAAGGTGTTCAGTTTTCTTTCATTACAAAGTCAGAGGCATCATCGTTGGTATTTATAGAGACCTACATATCTGAGTTTTCTTCCGTTGGTTAAGAACCAGTTGCTGCTTGTACTAAGCTCACTTCCTTACTGGCTGAACATGATTTTATCAGGATGACTCAGAGACGTCAGAGGACAGTTTTCTGCACTTTTTTTCATATTGCAGGTTTAAACTTCTTGATTAGTTTTAAAGTCACGCTGCTTGAGACAAACACACTCACCTGTTTTTCGATGCTGTTCACAACGATCAGCTTCCCTCCCTTCTTCTCACAGTCGTCTTTGCTCTTCTGCAAAGCGGACACTATGGTGTATTCATAATAACAGCTGCAGCCGACCTTCACCCATCCTAGAGGACAGCCGTTCCCTGAAAACATACGACACCCTCTTACTCCGATCTCCTGTAACTTTGTGTCTTTGCTCAGTTAAAATGGCTTTAAATGAGTTCTGTATGTTATTTTAGGGAAACTAAAACCTTTCTCAGTCGCGTTTGAGGTGTTGTTCACTTCAGTGATGTTCGTTAAAGAGCCTTAAAAAAGGAAATAAAATGTGAAACACAGGAACTGCTTCAAGCTGCAGATAAACACGGTTGTTTCAGTTACTGAGGGGAAAAGAAGCTTTGTAACCTCTCTCGGTTGCGTTTCGCTCGGGTCGATCATCTGGAAATCCAAAATCAGGCCAACCACCAGTTGTGTTTGGATTCTCGAAGTCTAAGAAGTCTGGACACGGAGAACCGAAGAAAACACAGCTTGTTCTGAAATAATTGTTCTTCAGCTTGTCAACATTTAGAAGTGACTCTGATTGTGAGTTTGATTTTCCTCTCTTACCTGAGCACTGGCTCTTCATCCTGGTCATTTCCTCATTTAGTTTATCCAACTTTATTTTGAGCTCGTCTCTCTGCACGGTCACTGAGATATCTGCAGAGGAACGTAAAGTGATCATGTGAAACTTTAACAAACGTTTGTGTGTTTGTTTTTTAAATTAACAGTTTAAAATCATTAGTTCAGCACTTCTCTGGGAATGATGAGAAACTTGTTGTAATGTTCTCATCGTTTCCAGAACAGTCTGTTGAATCTGAACACTGATCGTAAGCAGCACGTGTCGGCCCTCACAGCGTAGTCCTGTCGAAGTCAGCATGAGCAGAAGAAACGTTCCCAGAACTGCAGCGATGACTCGAGCGTCTCTTCTCTTCACTGAATGTTTCTTTCGAGCACGTCGACCTGTAGAGATGAAAAGCGCAGTAACTATACTTTTAAATGAGCTGCTCGAGGACAGATGTTTGCTGTATGACACTTTATTTATTTCCTGTTTAAAATAAGACATAATCCATGTTTTATTTGCGTTTACTGCCAGCCCATAAGTCTACTTATTCATGCTTACTGGTTTTCTGTGACCCGGTCCTGGTGGCGTGGGCTTCAAGCTCTCGGATCTCCGCTTTGTTTTTCTCTCCACCGTCCGCTCGGCCTCCTCTGCTGTATCTCACATGTCGGTTTCCTGTGGACATCTTGGGCGAAGTAAAAGTCTCGTCCGTCTGCTTCTGTCTTTGTCACGCAGCTGTTTTTAGA